AGTCTGGACATGTGCTCATCTCCTGACTGGTGAGGAAGCCTGTCAATCATCCAATCGGCAAATCAGCGGGAGAAGAGTTCAGAATGGAGCAGATGACTGAGGACTTGGAGGAAGAGTTCGCGGCCATCTTGTTTCATTGAAGGCGCTATGGAGGTCCTGTGTGCGGCGTTTTTGGGTCCTTGAAGATGGCGGATGCGGCACAGGTACTCGTTTTTTTGTATCGGAGTATTTGCACGAGTACGAGTACTCATGCAAATACTCGGTACTGCCACCGATACCGATGCTTGTATCGGTATCGGAGCATCCCTAATTTAGATGATATAAACCTAATGTTCAGTTGGGCTTTAATATTTCAGCCCCTTAACTCTCAATTCAGCAAAGCTCATGCATAAGCTCAAGCACATGCTCTCTCCTGATTGGAAAGCACTAGCTCTGACTGCTTTTTTGGGGGAGGTGATTTGGTACAGACACACACTGGGGGTCTTCAGCTTCTGCTGTGTTGCTGCACCTTTAAGGAGAATGGCCGCCCTTAGGTTACATAGTTACATAGTATTTGAGGTTGAATAAAGACATTAGTCCATCATGTTCAACCTTTGTGTGTCTGTATGTGATCGTGCATGTGTGTCTGTGTACAGGAGTCCCCGTGTGGTCTAGTTTTTAGGTGTACCGTATGTTACGGTCTCTGAGGAAGGTATCTAAATAGGTGAGCCTACTATCTGTTTGGCATTGCTTCATATCTCCCCTAGTTGGGCACCCAGATAGTTTAGAGTTAGAGACCTCATTTATCATTGGTGTCTTGACGTGGCAGTGTGGCTTCTACCTGTATTTGCAAATATATTCAACTAATCCTCTGTTTTAAGTAGTTTAAACATTTTAGACATCCTGCACTCCTCTCAGCACTCTGGATGACTCATCAGAGGGCAGCAGATAGTAGAAGGTTTTTATTGCTGTCTGCATCCCCAATTGGGAGATTCACCCCTCTATTTGTACTGCTGACCACTGTCACTGCAAATTAGAAAAAACAAAATTTTAGAGTTGTCCCCAGAACAAGCATAAAGAAGAAATCCTCTAATGGGGTTCATCAGTTCCGGTGACAGCTGTCTATGAGTTAAATTCCCCACACTTTGGGAGATTCCCACTAACTTCCTGGGATGTTTTCCCAATGGTACACAAAGAAAAATAACCTGGCATGACTTTAACCCTTTCCATACTCTTCCAAAACAAAACTACATTTTTGGCTATACATAGGCTTTAAGCGCTGTATGCGTTTGCCTAAATCCTTTCTTTTTAATTTTATAATAGCGTGGGAAAAGTTGTAAATATATTCCTCAATATGAACAATGGATATAAATTCACTTTGTGTGGACCAAATGCCTTTGTGAACTCAGAAAGTGGCAGTGACATCATCACTGTGCTTTACAAAGGCTGAACAGAAAGCAGAGCCGTGGGAGGGGCCCAGCAGGACCCACTACAGGCCCCCTGCAGAAAACTACAGGAGGGGACGGAGACAAGACCAGTCACCCAGCACAAGGAGAGAGAGCAGCAGTGAGTGATCTTTATTACAGAAAGCTTCAAGTTTCACACTGGATTACTGCACAGAGCTGGAAGAAATACACAAAGCAAGCCAATATTTAAGTAAGATTCTTGTATTTAAACATTTGCCTATCTTACTGGAGTTTAGGCTTAGGAACCTCTGTCAGGTTTGACTTACTAGCTGTGATCCCGTTGGGGAGATTTTCCATTATGGGGTATTGTTAGAATACACATTACTGTGTTTATAGCAACAACTTCTGCAGTATACAATTTCAATCACTAGATGGCAGTGTTTATAAGTTCTGTTATATATCTATGGTATATGCTCTATTGTATTGCAAAAGGTAGATAATAAAGCTGTGGCTTCCTTCCTGTTATATCCAAGCCATGTGCAGCATGCATATCATACTGTGTGTTTGTGTTTCTTTATGAGGCTGTGCAAGAAGTTCCAACAGGAATAGGATGTGAGGGTAAATCTGTGAAGAAATATACACCAATGAAACCCATCTCTGGATCAATCCCGACTAAGCACTATGCAGATCTATTGTACAATTACTCTGCTCTCCACTAACGTTGAAGGTCTCGTGTTTTGGCCAGAGCACAAAGTCCCCGTTTACAGCCAACCCAGTCACTTTCCGTTCCAGCAACCAAGGTTAAAAAAAAGACAAAAAAAGAGGCAGACAAGACAAGAGAAAATTGGGAAAATGATTTTATTTCTGAGAGATGATTCAGTTTAGTGTGACAACAAATCATTTCCGAGAGCTTTTTACACATTTTTTTTATTTTTAGTAAAAACTTTGGTGTCCATTTTTTGTTTGTTTATTTGAAAAGAGGTCCGTCATTTTATCCAGGATTTACTCGATTGTGGGGTTTTTTAAAATTGATTTTTATTGAGTATAGTTCAATTACCACAGAAATTAATTATATATTAGTCTTTGTTTCATAAATATACAAGTAAAATATATATATATTATATATAGCCTAAGAGAGGTTCGGAGCTCTGCTCTGACCTATAACAATTATACAAATGGAAAGATTTCGGGATTTAACATACATTGGAGTGTACCTGTTGGTAGAGCCAGACCCGAGACCTAAGGGTTCACTAAGAACATGGAGGCCTGTTGTTATTTCTTAGATAACTGAATATTGATCATGTGAACAAAATAGCTACTTCATCTTAGAGCAACATGTCTATGTTCTGTGTCTCAGGTCTTCCTTCTTCCTTATAGAGGCACTGTCACCTTTCCCTTGCAGTGCAAAATGGCATTGTCTCTGCAAAGGCCCCCATATCTATATCTATAGGCACTTTGCCTGCGCTTCCTTGTCACTCCTTCCTCCATCAGATCCGGCACAGAAATCATGTCACGTGATACTGCTTAGGCCTAGTGACTGACTGCTGGGCCCAATACCTAGGTCAGGGGTGCAGGTCACATGCAGCCCCATACCAGAAGCATTGGGAAATGTCACCAGCTGGGATGGCGGAAGGAGCACAAGCAATGTCAATAAAGGTGGGTTGTGGCCCTTTGCAGAGACATTGTTACTTTGCCCTGCATGGGCTAGATGACAGGGTCTATTTAAAATTATCATGTGCTTAGCTCATAGCAGGCAAAGCAAAAGGTTAATTTTATTGGAAGCCCTGCTGCTTGCCATACCCACCCCTCCTTTGCTCCCCCTCCACTCTATTTGGCCAATGATATGGCTCCAATTTGCAACTTGGAGCTTACACATGGTTGAGAACTCTCTGACCTGCCCCATGCGATGGTGATGGATGGATGCTTGAAAGACCAATCACCAGCCATGTCACGTGAGAGAGATGAGAGTGAAATACATGACCCACATACTCAAAAGATCTTGGTGGCCTAATGAAGAAGCAGATGAGTAAAGGAAACTTCAGTACGTGCTGCTGATGGGACTCACATTAAAGGGAACCTATTGGGCATAGGTTTGCTTTACAAGCCAATTCAATTCTACCCGACATCAGTTTTAGGTGGGCGCTTGTGGAACACCCACTAGCTTCCTTTATCTGAAGACTCCATTGGTGAGCTTTTTCAAGCATAGTTTGTGTCTGCATTCACTCCCACAAGTCCATGATGAAGACTTTCTCTCCTGAAGCTGAAATCTTATGTGGTATATATGAGCAAAATATTGTGAACACCTGGCCATCACCCCTACACTATATGGCCAGAAGTAAGTGAATACAACCTCCCCCCTTCCAAATGACTGTGTTCGGGTTCCCGGTAAATTATTCTGTTAATGTTACAGAATACAAAATCATTCTAGAAAATCGTAGTCTTCCAACCTTGTGGTAACAATTTGGAGAAGGTGCTTTTCTGTTTCAGCATGACTGTGCTCCTGTGTACAAAGCCAGCTCCATACAGACATGGTTTGATGAGGTTGATGTGGAAGAACTTGAGTATCCTACACAGAGACCTGACCCCAACCCTATTGAACAGCTTTGGGATGAACTGAAACTCTGATTTAGATCCAGGTCTTCTTGTACAACCTATGTACCAGACCTCATAAAATATATTCTAGATGAATGGGCAGTGGCACAGATTCCAACAGACACTCCCCAAAATTGTGTGGAAAGTTTTCCCAGAAGAGTGGAGGCTGTTATAACCACAAAGAGGGGACCCACTCTATATAAATGCTAATGGTTTCAAAATGGGACATCCAACGAGTTCATATAGGTGTGATGCTTAACTCCGGCCCGATACGAAATACACAAATGAATGCAGCTCTGTATTCATTAACACATTTTACATATATTTTTTAATGCAAGCAGGGTAAGTACCCGAGATTGACTTGTAATTATCCTCTTGTGGGCCCTGTGCAGTAGAACTCTGACGGGGAGGGAAAAGCAGCAGAAGGAGCCAATCAGATGTGCTGCAGTGCAAGGAAGATACTGATAGCACGAGAGAGCAAAATGACATAGAGATCATCAGTCTGCTGCTTCTCCTTTCTCTGTCCAGTTACAGGCTGGCAGTGGGATAAAAACCTGTGGGTTTTACTTCATTGCAGCAAAAGAAAATCAGGTCTCCCCCCTGTTAGATGGGACTTCCCTGTGTAGCAGAGATTTGTCAAATACAGGACTGGATGGACAGAAATACAAATCCTTCCGCAGGTAAAACAGCTGGTATACATGTATTTCATTGGTGTATTTAGCCGTTTGACTTGAGAACCCATTGGGGAAGCAATGGTTCGGTAGAATAGGGAATCCAGTTTAGCATATCTTGCCACTGCATTTCCTGAAATATATAGAATGCTGGCATATGATTCAACGGCTCTGCAATAATGCAAACATGAGATATTATTTTTGGATGGAGTTCACCATAAAAGGCCAAGTCTATCAAAAAGAGAATATTTCAGTGGCCCATCATCAACTAAATCCCAATTTGGGAATGGCGGAGGTAAGATCACCCAGCTGGGTTCCTCAGCCTTTCTACCAATGAGTCAGACAACACAAGTCAGAGAGTAATATCCCGATCATAATGGATGTGGGGAGTGGGCGGAGCTGGGATCTCTATGACAGAATCTCCAAAAGATATAAAAAGCTGTGAATGTTTCACCCCAACCCTATCCACCGCAATCAGAAATATACGTTTCCTGCAGAACGATTTATTTTTGTGCTTTTGTTTCTGGAAACGTGTCTGCTGTTTTTCCTCAGGCATACCACATCCATTATCGAAATTTTCTTACAGATGTTGTGTTTCCCTCAGAAACTAAATTTGCCAGTAAGATCTTTCCTTTCCCTTTTGGATTTCTTGCAGTCTCTTTTCTCCGTCTTAATATCGTCGTTTTTCGGTATTGTGTTACGGCGCGCACACCCAGAGCCTCCTTGGCTCTAAGCAGCACAACGTTATGGAGCTCGCCGTAAGGCTTTTCAATTTTCTACTGCGATGGTTTCATCGCCCTCAGTGGAAGCCTTGAAGGACCATCTCCCAGCGTTGACTGATGGCAGTGGTCTCGCAAGGGTTGATTACGATCTCGCGGTTGTTCTCATCCGCGTCGCCGATGATTTCCGTATCCAGGCAGAAGTGGGAGGCCATATGTTCGATGTGAGAGCCCACTTTACTCCATCGCTGGGAAGAACAAAACAATTAAAAAAAAAGAAAAGAACTGGATAAAGAATGTACACTGTGATTGTACATATAAAACCACTAAAATATCTTGTATGCTTTAACATATTACTGTCATGTCTAAAGTAATTTCTCTATATCATTTAATCTGCAGCTTTCATTAACATAATCACAGAAAAATTTAAATCCATCAGCGCAATAAAACTATGTGATAAAATAATAAATGAATCAGTCTTGAAGGATAGCACAGTCCAGAACTAATAGATGGAATAAGGGATACAAGCAGCTCCAATCTAGGGAACCACAACTGAAAATACAGAAAAAAAGGGCACAAAGATGTCATAAATTAAAACAAACTAAATATATATATAGAAGATAGAAATGCCCTCTCAATTGTACAGGGAAAATAGCATTCATAGATCCAATAATCCAAAAGGAAGATGATGGTTACAGTCTATGGGTCTTGGGGTCAAAGATTTCTATCCCAGAATGGCAATGTTTGCTAAGGTGCTTTCAGTCACATTGTGCAACTTTACACTTTAAAGGAGAACTATGAGGTGAGTGCTTTTCACTCACCTCATAGTTCTAGCCGACCTGTGACAATGAGACTGTCACAGGTCGGTCAGTAGATCGGGAGGTGAGTGAACACATACCAGCGTTCGCTCACCTCTCGATCCTGTCACGGCTCTCTGCCGTGACAGGGGAGGGGCTGGATTCCCCCCTCCGATCCGCCAGCGCTGACTGGCGGAACGGATGGGGGAGGGGGCAGGTACAGCTGGCTCTGCCTTTAGATAGGCAGAGCCAGCTGTCAGTCACACAGCTAGGCGGATCTCGGCACAATTGTCGGTATCCGCTTCAGCTGCGGCGTCTCAGTATACAGCGAGCTACAGCTCGCGGTATACTGAGCCTAGGGTGACGGGAGGACGCTAGTTTGTGTCCTTCCGTTACCCTAAGGAGAAGATCCAGAAGGTGTAACATTCTCCTGTGGCCAGGTGCTTGTGCAGAGTGCCCATCAAAAGTAGGAGAACGGTGGCCTGCAACCTCTAAGACTCCAATCTCTGTTCCCGGGTTCTGTGTATCCAAGGCAATGCGCTTTGAGGACTAAATCCTCCATCTTACTCTTTCGCTGACAGGTCCATCAATGTAACTTATATCCTGAGGAAAAGACATTGATGGAACTTGCACCAGAGGAGTAGGTAGGAGGAGGGCTTCTTCTGAGGAGAGGGGAGACATTAATGGAACCGGCAGTAGAATAATAGATGTCTTCTCTTCAGGAGAGAGGAGTAATTGATGGAAAACGGAAACAGAGGAGTAGGTTGGAGGAGTCTTCTCATGAGAGAGGAGACATTGATGGAATTGGCAGCTGAGTCTATGAAATGCTTTGCCTTAGATACACAGAACACCACCGGGAAGCAGACACTGCAGCCTCAGAGGACACCACCATTCTCCTACGTCCTCCTTCTTTCTCTTACTTCTTTGCTGCCAGTTACATAAATGTCTTCTCTTCAGGAGAGTGGAGAAATTTTACCTACCCTCCACCTCCACTTTCCTTTCTCCTCCACCTCCAACACCTCTTTATTCCTATACCTTCTGTAATCCTGGAATAAAGTGCCCGATTTCAATTTTATGACCCTCATTGGATTATATCTGTAGTCATCGATTTCCAGGCATTTGGAATATTCTTACTTTTATGGTTACGATGTTTATAATTACACCTGCTCTGATTAACAGTAGTAAATGTATCTCTGTGTCACTGCACTTGACGATGGTGCGCTAGATGTCGTATGTTACCGGTATGGTTTGTGCTGTATATTTTTTATTCCTTAACCCCTTCGTGACTGACGACATACAGTGTACGTCGCCAGCATCGGGGCTGTTTAAACAGACTCCCAGCGGGTATTGCCGCCGGGAGTCTGTTTAAACTTGTAGAGCCGACTGTCGGCTTTACAACAGAAGCGATTCTGGCGACTTACCTGTCGCCAGATCGCTTCTGTGTCCCGTAGAAGGGGCCGCCCCCCCGCCAGGCACCGCCGCCGTGCTTCCCGGGTTCCGTTGCCCCTCCTACGGGCCCGGCGTCCTTGGTGTCCGCGGGGAGCTGGGGAGGAGGTCAACGAACTTCCGTTCATCGATCCCCTCCCCGTTCTATGGGACCGGGAGCGATGCAGATTGCATCACTTCCGGTCCCTGGGCTGTCAGTTCTGGGCTCCTGCAGCCCAGCTATAAGCTATTGAAGTGCGATCTGCAC